AAGTCAATGAAATTATACAGGTAGAAAGGACAAAAATGTAGTTGCTGGATTTCAAATAGTGACAACACCAGTCTCATCATTAAGCCTGACACAAGAACCTTTTAATTTAAATGTAATCTCCAAAAGACCAAATTACCAGCAACATGTTCTCATTAATTCCTGTAAGGGATGCTCAAGCTTTGACCCCTTATTGTTCTCCTTATCGAGAAGTGGCTGAGTCATAGTATTAATAAGCCATCACTCATTTAAGTGGTCATTCAGTGCTGGGCGGGGAAAAGATAGGCTCATCCTTTTGAAGTGGGAATGGGCAAGCAAGGCTGCTGTAATAGGCTGTGATTATTTTCACTATGAATGCTCTCCCAGCTTTCAAAAATTAAAAGGAGCACTCATTTTCCTGCTTGAGTATTTCTCACACTGGCAAAAAAAAATGAACCCTTTGAAATGTAAATGATTTAATCTTTGCAAACCCCTGCTTCAGAGGGAGGTACAGCTTCATTTACAAAATGAAGACATTTTAGGAAATGATTATCATTGTAAAATTGAGGTCAGCAGGGAGTCCGAGTTCAAACTCTTAGAATATCAGCAGTGTAACAAGTTTGATCTTCCTTACTGCATTGCTTGCATTTGCTTCTCTGGGTTCCAGCAGAGAGCCATTGTCAGTCGGAACTTGTTCCCACTCATTTCCCCTGGTTAAATAAAATAGTTATGCTTATTACATAGAGTTAGTCAGTCCAATAAAATTTAGGGCAAAACTAAAAATAAAAAAGGGAAGTTGAAATTTATTTTGATTAATGTATACCCTATGTGCATATTCAGCTTGGAACATTTAAAGGCTGACAGCACCAAGGATATATTTTTTAATGCTTAGTTCAGGCAGAAGTGTTGGGCAGTGTTACTATACTGTTCTACCAAGGTTTCAGAAGGAGACCACCCATAATGGTGAGAGAATATTTAATTTAAAATTTAAACATTAAATCCTTAATCTCTCTTCTACAACATCCAAGGAGAATGACAATTATTGTTGCTGGAATTATAGGGCTTTATGGTATCAGTCAGGCTTATTATGAAGTGATGGAGATGATAAATTTGTATAACAAAGTGCAAATGATAACAGCTGCCATATGACAGCAGCCATTATGGAGAGCTTCCCTGCACTGATGGGCATTTCAGCTGGAACCAAGGGAAATCTCAGAAACGAGGACGAATCTGAGGAAAACAGAAAGTGAGAGGTTACGGAATTTTGTTGGACATCTTGAGATATAAGTTCATCATCTTTTAATCAGTGTTGCATACTTATTTTCAGTGGAATTACTTATATTTCTGCCATTCCTGGAGAGCCATTTCTGTCACCCAGCCTGATGCGTTGAAAGGGATAACTAAAATTAGAATGTCAAAATGTCATTTGCCTTACAAAGATCCTTGATGTTACACTCTTGAAGTTACACTTCAGTAGGACAGATGAAATGCTGTTACTGCATGAAAGAAATATACCTATATATTTACAACATGCAAGAGGAAAATACCAAAATAAGCAGAATTCAGCACCTGTCCAATACCTCAAAAAAGGGAGAATGGAAGGCTGCCTGTACTCAAGTTAAAGTGATATATCTTGAAGTAAGTCTGAAAGTTGGGTAGCCAGACTTGCTGGACACTTACCCAAAACAACTATAAGGAGATTTGTCTTTACTTATGACAAAAAGCAAAATATTAGCACTGGTTTTTAACATCTCAAAAACAGAAGAAAAAATGGTTCTAGAAACAAAACTGCACAATTTTTCCAAATGACCACAATGCTGAAAAATGTGTTATAATATCTCAGAAGAGATAAAAGAGAAAGCCTGAACACCATCCAGCACATATCCAGTCTCAGTGCTTACTGGTTTTTCTGGTTCAAGCAGGTGTTTTGTTTGTGTGCACTGGAGTGTGAGGCAGCTGTTCTCTCGAGGTATGAAGGGCTCCATTATGAGCACCATCCTGCTCTCTTTCCAAGGCAACTTTGAAAGCTGGGCAATTGCTGCAGAGGAGAAAGCTCCACACCCTGGCCTTTGGGAGGGACTTAGAGGAACTGTACACCTTACCAGTCATGCAGGTGTAAAATGAAGGAGAGTGATCAGAAACAAACATGAAAAAAGTCATGCACTGTAAATTGAGGTTTCAAAGCATATGGCCAAGCGTGTCTTGCTGACTCCTGGAAACTTTACATGAGTTCTGGATAGCACTGGCCTGAAAGACAGCTGTTCAGCAGAACACTGACTTCTTTCTGCCAGTATTACTCCTTTAACTATTTAAAGGTATTTATGAAGTTTTAGACTTGATGCTTGTTACAGAAGCCAGACTGCAAGAGGTTCTAGAGCTGGATAACTTAAAGTTTAGAATATCTATGTTTTGATGAACTGATACTGTAACAGACAATTAAAAGCTGTTCCAGACTGTAAACTCCCTGGGACAAAGACTACTGCTTTTGCTTGTATAAGAACATCCACACTCAGCATGGTGTGTAAGATATCCCTCAGCTTTCCCCCATCTCACACTCCAGCAGAGGACTCAGGTCACAGGAGGGAGCAGGATTCAATGTAGGCGAATTTTACTGAGCTCGAAGTGAAATCCAGGAAATTCACAAAGATTCTCAGATCAGAATTTTAGGTAGACTGTGACTTTAACCAGAAGATTTCTTATTTTATTATGATTATTGTGAACTCTTTCTTGTTGCCAACAATGCTTAATATTTTGCCTCCCAGTTATTTTTTTCAGAAGGCTCAGATCAAAGGCATGTGCACAAATACTGCATTTACTCAGGGCAAGATGTACCAGTGGAACTGTTTAGATTATGCTTCTTTGGCTCCACATTCTGGGCAACTAATGCAATATTTTACACAGTTATTTTACTTTGGAGAAGTTAAAATCCATTCTGTATGACATCTTCTGAAATCATGAAGCAGAGAGCTTAGCTTGCCTGGGACTCTTTAGGAATGATCTGCCTTGAACTTCTTAACTAATGCTGTGCTTTGTCATTAACTCATTGCTTCTGATGTTTTCACAAACTGCTCCCAAGTAATTTTCTTAATATTCTCTTCAATGACAGATATTTTACACATTAAATCTATTTTTCATGTTAGTCCAATGATCAAGAAGGGTGATGTAATCCACTGGGGGAACATATATTCCAGTTTTCATTCATGCTTTAGAGTATTGTCACAGTCCAGCACAAAGGAATAATCTGATTGTTTCTCATAAAGCAAGAACAAATCATGATTGAAGGATTTCTTCTATTTAAAGCTATGCTTTGCAAAGCCTATTGAACTTGCTAGAAGAGTCATCTCCGATGCCTACACTAACTACACAAAGCTGCTGCACAGTTGCCATTCAAGGGCTAATTTAGCACCAAAAGGCCAATATTGCTTATTTGCAGATTACAAATATCACGAGATATTAATTTATTTATATTTAAATCAGGCTAAAAGATTAAGAGAACTTTCAGTAGATCCATTTACAATTAAAATGAGGGCAAGTTTGAATTACTTTTTTATGATCTGGGTACAGCTGGGGTTTGAAAGAGTTGCCGCCAGAATGATGCCTTTGAAAAAAGTAATGCAAAATTTGTGTAAGTGGGTGAAAGAGCATTAGATTATATCACCTCGCAGGTCAGCTGGAAAATACAATATGTATTCTGATTATGAGAAAACGGAGTGAAAGGCAGAGAACAGGTGCTGGGGATGGCTTTGGGGCGCCGATGGCAGCGCAGGGGCCGCGCTCGCTGCCGCGGCCGGGCCGGGCCGGGCCCCGCTCGGGGCTGTGACCTCCGGGCAAAGATAACTCTTTCATAGCCCTGTTCCACTCTTCCACTTTGTATCCAAGCCCTCCGCTATAAAATGTAAAACCAGCACATAGAGCACACTGCTTTGGAGGTCTGCCACTTGCATTCAGGCAACCATTTGTACTTTTGCAGGCGTAATCAATCTCCTGTTGCTATCAGCAGGGAGTGGGGCTTTGCTGCTTTATGGCTTAAAAGTAGTTTTGTGCAAATTCTGCTTCCCTCCCCCCTCCCTTTAGCTCCACTACTCACAGGATTTCCAGGGACATGGGCTAGAGCTGAGAAAAGAAGCTTGTTTGATTTAAGCACAGAGGGGTTTTTTGTGTGTGTGTTTATATTTTCTCTGCATCTATTAAGGGGTGAGGGGGAGAGACTTCATTTATATGTTAATATTAGCCGGCACCCTGACTAAACTGACAGAACTATTTCATGGGAAGCTGACAAATTTTGTCAGCCAGGCTATCTTTCCACATCTCAATAGTGGCAATAATCTTGATTAGCAAAACAATTGGGGGCCAAAGAAGTCCTGCTGTTCCAAAGACCCTCTTCTCAGGTTACAGTTTGCTAATGTGATGAATCCAGAGAGTCCTTCAAGCTTGAAAAAATTCTCCAAAGCAGCTGAATTTAGGCAAATGAAGGGAACCATTTTGGAGGCTGGACAAAAGGGGTTAATTTGATCGACCATGTCTCCATAGTCTTATAACAATCATTTACTTAACAAGCATATAGAGAGTCATTCCATGGAAACTGGTGGAGTTAACAGAGGAAGTTCGAATAGAATATCTGTTTATCCCAGATGTGTGGGAATTTTAGCCAAAAAACAACACCACATAATTGCTGCCTGTGGTATTGATTCTTGCACAGGAACAACAGCAGAACTAAAGGGCTCTGAGCACGTCAGGAAGGCCTCGGCTGTGAAGCAGCACAAGCTTCCATTTTTATTAACTTGTGCATTGCTAATAAAATAATTAGAAATTAACTCTTTCAGGGAAACTAAATGAATTCAAAAGGTTTGTGCCGTCCTATTTTCAGTGCAATTTAAGGCAACTACTTCTGTTTGCAAAAATAAGCGCTTTTGTAATATTTTTGATGCATATTCATTCATCTCCTTGCTTGTTATTGCATTATTACATAATAAGCCACATTCTGAACTATATTTATGCACTCAAATCTGGTGTATTTCTTCTAGAGCTATCAGGCTGCATTTGCTTCAAGAACAGGACCAAATAGTTTGTAGAACTGTAAGCAGATGGAAATATACTTGGTCCAGGTAAGCATAGATATATAATCACCATATAAAATAGCCCTCTTACTTCTGGGTGCTATCTCCCACCTATTTATGCATGCCATTAATTTATAAATCTGTCGTAAGTCAATCTAAAATTGTGAGATTCTGTTTAACTCTCTGATGAAATTTTTAAGCTTTCATTAAAAATTTTATTGTAAAAGTTACTAACTAAACCTTCCTCTCTTTTTACACTCTTACTCGCTTCTGCCCAGCAACATCTTTGGAATAATTTGTAATTCTGTTACTGAAATAAAAATTGCCATTCATATAATGTTTTGTAAGACTTAAGGATTTGACCTGATGTGTACACACTGGTGAATATTAGTGTAAAGACACATTTTGCCAGACATCAAATGCAGGGTTCTTAAAAACTGCTGAACTTATTTGTCTTTAATGAGTTTCAGAACCAAACCTTACTTACACATTACTCAAATATGAAAAGGGAGAGGAAGAGAAACTCTGGCATTTTTATTTCTTGTTCTTTTGCATATTTATAGTGCTGTGCATACCATCTAGAAGGAGTCCACTCTTTAAAATATGATTAGGAAGATTTTGATATAGTCATTAAACTTTCTCACTTCAAGTTATTTTCTTGGTAACTTAGAATGATGGAAGTCTTTAACTTCATTAACTTTAATGTGAGCAAGTAAATTTTTTTCATTTTCCCTCAAATTTGTGATAGGATGTAAATGGGAACATGTTTTTAGAATTGATTACTTATACACTTGAAGATAAATACATGGATAGAAAGATTTATCCAAAGAGAATTGGTCCACAGTCTTTCATAATGATAACGATTGGGAAAAAAGTATGTGCAGAATTTTTACCCATAGAGAACCTTCAGCATTTGCATTGGCATAGATTAATGCTTATTATAGTTAATTTCTAAGATGGGTATCTGAACTGTAGCATCAGAAATTCCTCACTTCCCTTCAGTGTAATACCTTTAAAGATCAGGTAACACAGATTACTCAGAAAAACTCTGTTTGCTGGCAGGTAAAATTTTGCTCAAATTAAAAAGCTTACCAATAGCATGGCACCCTTGCAGCCAATGAAGCAGAATTACATGGATGTGTGTGCCCCCACAACTGTTTGAAAACTCTGCACAAAGCCTCTATTTTTTCAGCATTCTATGTTTCCAGATGTCCAAAACTGGGTTAATTTTTTAGGAAGCTGAGGTGCTCTGTTTTATACCATCTGTCACACACTATCATAGTGAAAAAGAGAAGGGAAACACGCTATGTGGCTAACATCAAACTATTACATGCTCATTAAGGATCTCATATTTTTTTGTCATATAGATCTCTACCTGTACACAAAAATCCATCCTGTATCTGTCTCATTAAAGGCTGCTTTTAACAACAGCACAGGTTGCAATGACAGTACCTGCAATGACAGAGAAGCTATGCAGCCCTCATGCCATTGAAGCTGATAGGGAACTCAATCCACCTAGGGTAAGTAAGAATTTTTTTAATTTTCCTTTGTTAAATCTTTCAGAACAGTGGACAACACTAATCTAAACAATCTAAATCTGAAGTTTTTATCCAAACCAAAGTTTCCTTATGGCCTCAAGTTTGGTTTGTTTCCTTTATAGGTTAAGGTGGTACAAACTATCAAACAGCTCCTAAGACTGAAATTTTTTGTACAACTCGAGTGGATCAAACCTGTGATCCTGACTGTGCACAACTTGGACTCTAGCAGTGTCTCTGAGGGAAATTGTCCCTGGAAGAAGGATTTTGCCCCCTCCAGCCAAGCCATTGGCAGAGACACTGGAATGAGAAGCACTTAAGGCTGTGTGACTGCACTGAAGTGCTTCCTCTGAGAGTCCTGGACATGGCACAGTGCCTTTGGGTCCACTTTCCCAGCAGCTCCTTGTGAGACAGGATATTTCCTTAGCAATGTTTGTTGGTATTTACACAGTGAGTTCAGACAGTGACTGGCCATAGCTCCTATCAAACCACAATTGTTGAAGTGACAGTTCAGATCCTCTGCCTGATACACTGCCATTGAGAGAGATGGACAGAATTCCCATTAAGGCTTGCTTTAGGCAGGATATCCAACGCTTCTGGCTGTAAAAAGATGGAACAAGCCTGCACACTATACTACTCTGTCTAATATTTCCCATTTTGACATGATCCCCAAAATATCATAAGTGAAGAAGTGACAATAAACATGCTTTGCACAATTTTAAGGAAAAGATCTTTGGTCTGATTCCAGATATCGTCAGCAGGATGAACACAAAGGACAACATTTAGTTATAGATTAATAATCCAAGTACAAATAGTTCTGAACAAATAGAAAAAACATAAACCCACAATATTAAGCAAACCACAGGACAAAGATCACTCAATTCTCAGAGCTATATTATTTTTAAGTGGGGAGACAAACTATACAGAAGTCATTGAACTCTGTGATGTCAATATCAAGGTGAACCAGCCTGAATGAAACGTGCCACAAAGAGTTATGAAATGTAAAATCCAAGTAAAGCATGTGGAGTTTACATGAGCAGCAGTGAACTCACTGAACCAGAAAATGGACATTTTTTCCAAAAGTTCTCATACTTCTTTAAGCTGGAAAGTATAGTGCAAAGTTATACATCAAATAATCCAGAAAATTTCACAAGAAAACAAATTATCTATTATGTTCTTATGTTACTGTAATATGTTAATGCCACTAGAAACAACTTGAATTATCTAATCCTCTGCTTGCAAGACTTTACCTAAAATAAGTAATTAATTGTTCACTTTTCTATCAGTAGATGAAGAAAGCAAGAGACAGAAATATTTCCTCTGCCAGGAAAACAGCAACACTTTTCTCTGGAGAGACACATTTTGAGCTATTGCATAAACTCCCACTCATACAGTCTGGTTTTGCATTGTGTTTTTCAACTGGTCATCCTGTAGCTCATGCATCATTACCACTGAAGAATTATTATAAGTTAAATGCAGTACAGGCCAGAACTAACATGTAAAACCTGCTCACTCACTCTTCGTTAGAAAACTAGAGATAAATATGAGTTGAGAGTTGAATTTTGCCATGAATTTTGCATTAATACTTGGACAATAATTCTGCTATATCACTATTCTAGAGCACAAACAATTTTCTGTCATTCAGTGATAACAGCAGAATGGTCATCTGTCTATCATTGTAATAAAACCATTTTGTCAGAAAAGGTTGTTAGATACAATGAATTCTAGGCTATCAAATTAACCATTATCTATCCACCCCAGACAACCTTCAGACTGTGTTTCTCCTCTAAAAATTAAAAGATACAACGTAGTAGATCTCAGGTCACTGGCACATGAAAACTTTCCCATTATATCAGGTTTTTTTATAAATAATACTTTCTGAAAATTTACATATTCACACTCCAATATGGATCTTTACAAAATAATCCTTGTTGTGTGAGCAGAAAAATCCCAACACATTAAGACAGATAAACTTATAACATAGAGACAAATAACTTTGTGCTCTGGATTTAAATAGATATATATTCCTTAGTGTTGCCGCTTTCTTCAGATCCTTCCTAAGATCTGTTACCTAGTTATATTTTATGTAGGTGAAGTGTCACAGCAATGGCTATACCCCTAGTGAAAAATAAACTGAAACTTGCACAATTGTGCATTTTCTCTTTCAAAAGAAACTTGGTCACATTTCTAGCTGTTTTTCTTTATGAATGTATTTCATTTTGCCTTATAAATACACTGAAAATAAACTGAAAAATTCCACATGTTTAAATTTTTAGTTCAGTTGCATAAGTCAACATTTATGATAAAACACAGTAGAGAAAAAAGATAATTTTTCATGCTTTGAATTATCACAATTTATACATGAAGATTTCCTGAACAGTCTGAGGTCTGATAACAAGTCTTCCCCATTTGCTCTTAGCTTCAATTCTCAGTATTTGGCTAAATTTGTAGTACTGGGTAAGACACAAAGCAGATTTATTTTCTAAACAGATGATTTCTTCCAATTCTTAATGAGATATGAATAAAACTTTGATCTTCAAGGTGAATCATTCATTAATCATAAACAAAACATGATTAAATCAGAGACACATCAGCACATATTGTAAAACTAAAAGCTTGCACAAGCCTTTTATTTAATATTAACTTCATTATGTTTTTATGTGAATTCTTGGAAGTTGGTTATCCCAGCTTAAAGTTAATATTTCCTTAGGAAAAAACTGTATCATGTGATTATTCTCCATGTAGTTAGGTGGCTTTATACTTGTTAATGGTTAAACTACTTCAGAAATGACACTAAACCAGAGAGGAGTGCAGAGAGTTTCCACTGATTCTGTTGTGTCTTTGAATTACTCTGACAAATAATACAGACCAAAGTACATAATAGGAAGAATGAAGAAAATTAATTCAGAGAAGCATACGCTGCTTTTTGGAACTGCACATAACAGAGAAGAAAAAAAGAGAACTAATTGCTGTTCTCTCAGGATGGTCTATTAGCCAGTCTAGTTCCTGCTCACAATTTAGAGTCATTCTGTAACTAAATCATCTTTCTTTTTTACTGTTTAATCTACTTTTAATAAATTTAGCAATCTACTGAGAAAAATATTTGAGCTGTAACTATTCATGAGAGAGGGAAAGGAGTTTTACCTTTGACAGTTATCTCCATTTTCAGTAATAACTGGTAGGTTTTTTTGCAGGGGGCAGAAAAAAAAAAAAGAATTAATCAGTAAAGTAAAAGTTTGCATTCTGAGAACAGTAGCTATTGATAGTACCTATCTCCTTCATACCTATTTTACATCCACTTTAAATTTAATAAGCTTCAAGTTCTCACACTTGGAGGATTTCCCTCCCACCAGAACAAGCATAAGGTCTAGAAAAGTATGTGGCAGCTTTGGGAAGAGTTCCCTCATCTACCTGGAAAAACAACACCTGAAATGTGAATACATTAGCAGGAAAACTTCAACTGCCAGAAGCCAGCATCCACCCCCAGGAATGTACTGAATTAACAAACCTGCCATTTGGATAGGAATGTCTTTCCTTTTCTTTATTCTCCGGAGGAGATGGAGTTTAAAATTTTGGAAGGCACATACAGAAAACCACGGAGTGTAATCTCAGCACCTGTATCTCTGTGAGCACTAAACCTTTCAGGAAACCCTGACAGACATACCTTCTAATGAAATATTGTTCATTGATTATTTTTTTTCCCTGCAAGGATATATATGTTATATATAACATACATGCAGCAGAAGGTCTGCACCTGCTATCAATAGGCCATGCATGCAACAAAGAGCCATGGGTTGTGTCTAACTCTGACAGAGACATTGCATCTGTAAGAACTTCAGAGGCTGCAGGAGATGCTGTCAGGCTCAGGAGAAACAAAACATCAGCCTGAGGAAGCACCCAGCACCACGGACTCCTGTTTCAGGAAAGGCATAGAGGGAAATAGAAAATAATGGAATAAATGGGAAAAGCTTCAAGAGGATGGATAATAAAAGCCAGTATAACCAGGTAATTGCTCACTGCTTTCTCACCCAGGTATTGCACACCAAATGTCATGCAGTGGTTAGTTATGCTGTAAGGTGACATCCAGCAGTCACAAAAGCTTCCTCAGCAAGGAAGTTCCCAAATTTAACAAAACCAGTGAGAATACTCAGCTTTGTAAGCAGGCAGGCAGGCTTTAAGGAAACATCTGGGCTAATCACATAGGAAACAGCAGAACTGAAAATCCAAACCAAGAAGGCAATCTGCACTCACAGGAAAGTTTGGTCCCAGGTGACCACAAAAGTGTTGAGAGCATCATGTCCTTACTTTCAAAGGTCTCTAAGTACTGCTCCAGTGGAACACATGGGTGGAACTGGAAAGGGAAAAAGCCCCAAACCCCAAAATTCAGTGTCACCTTGTGTCACGAAATCCATGCCCATGTTTTCTACATTTACCTGGAGAAGTGATACAAGCCCTGGAGGGCTGCTACTGTGCCTTTTCCCGTCTTATCCCTCAACCTCCATCCGTTAATAATGATCTACGTAATCCACGTGTCATGTGATATAGTCATCAAAAAGTGATGTACCTGCACATAACACATACAAAACAATATGAGAAGATATTTTTAAGAAGAAGAGAGAACCTTAAACATTAATAAGTAGCAAATCTGTGAAATCAAAGCATTTTCCTCCTTTTTTTATAATAGCCTTTCATTCTTTTTATGATTTGTCTTTGAAAGCTCTTAAGCTCTTCCTGTGGATGACAGTTGATATTGTTCTTCCATCCTGCTGCAGACAGCACAAGGGAGGGAGGGAAAGGAAAAAAAAAACTATTGTACAGCTTTTCGTCTCTGAAACATGATTTTTATAATTAATATATACAACTGAGAAGAGAAAGGTACGTTATAATGAAGTGCAATTAAGAGGTGTTTGTTCCTGTCCCACACATAAGATGACTATAATTTCCTTGGCTGTTTAGAAGTCAACCATTATCATTACATTTCACACATCTTTTCTACTTTTTTTTTTTGCACTTCTGATTTTGTTTATTTTCAATTAAAATCTCCAAATAAACATGCATACATACAGAAAATCTGATATTCAAGTAACATCATCTTTTAATTATATTGTGCAGTGATCATTAAACCTAGTGCTTATACTAACCTTTTTGGATTTAATTTCATAGACATGAATGGATCTGTCAATTTTGCATTGACTTAAATTCATGCAAGGGAGAATAGAATGTGCATTTACACAGACTATACTGCATGTAAACACAGATGTATTATTATAGGAGTAATTTAAAGCTATTCTTTTGGCATATTTGTTTTTAAATTCCCCAAATTCATATCACAGCATAGTTTTCCACTTTAAATTTTGCATTAATATTATTTGCATTAGTGCAATGAGTACCCTTTCAAATCTCACATAGACCCACACAAAGAAGCAATCACTGCCTAGGAGATCTTCCAGAGTGAAGATATTGAGGGGACAAACCATGAAGAACAAGACATATTCTCACTGATGTGATGGTGACATTTTTGTTACCCTTTAAATGCAGCTTCCCTGAGAGGGTTTCTTCCCATTTATGTCCCGGCCCAAGTTGGGACTAGTCCAGCTGAAGCCACAGTAGATCAAAGCTGGAGCCTTGGCTGCCCTAACCCAGCAAAGAGCCCTGCAGGGACTGGGGAAGTTCAGACTGACAGCTGAGTCTGTTTTGAGCTGAACTGCCATTAAACAAGTGCCTTCTTCCCAGTTCAGATTTGTAAAACCTTTAGAAAGTGAGCCCAGAAGGAGCTACAAAGGCCATTGCTGACAGCCAAACAGATGCAGACAGACAAACTGAAAACTCAAGCCTGATTAAAGCCCCTAGAAACATATGGAAAAATTAACATTAAACACAGTGGGCTCCTGCACAGAGGCAATTTACCTCAACAGGAAGTAGATGTTACTTATCTTCAAATAAGAAAATAATTTTTCTGTTTAGGTATTTCTATTGCTGAAAATATTCTTTGACACTGAAATTACTTGATTTTTTTTTTCCCAGTTTTGCTCATGTGCTGCTATTTCTGCTGAAAATTTTGATAGACATAATTGTATTTCTCTATGTGTACTTGTGCCAATTAAGCTAAATAACTCAATTGTTCTTGCAATGAGTATGAACACATTTACCAGAGCAAATATTTTCTTTGAATTGTTTTTGTATGTTTTTGTTTCTACAGAATGCTTCCTGAGAAAAATAGTCCAGCTTTAGTTGTAACAGACTATTTCCACTCTATGTAAGACTCTATGTAAAACATGCTGCTGTTGTTTGCTTTTATTTTTTTTTTTTGTGGCTGTAGTTCTAAAAATAACTGAAGAGATAAATGTATTACATTTTCCATACTGGAAAAATAAACATCGTCCTTTTACCACTTTAATTTACTGGCTTATCTTAATGTTTGTGCATTTTCCCTCTTAATATACTGTTCCAAAAAGTGATCAGACTTATTTGATTGACATGGAGTTGATATAAATTAGGAGATGGATTCCTATACATTACATTCTTCAGAAATATTTATCCACATTATTATCCATTTGCTGTCTGTATTAAGTGCACTGACTTATAGTTGATACTTTCCTGACTTTAATATTGCTTTCTTCAAATATAATATGAATTGATGGGAAGGCATTTTGAATAGTCTGAAATATTTCTTGAAGCTATGCAATAGAATACACTATCAGGTTAACATTATCTGTGATCGATATATTGTTTTGTGCTGTTTCCCCTTTATCTTCTGTTTTATATTAGGAGAAGTCATAAAAACTTGTATTGCAAAAAGCCAACAATTCAATCAACTCTATTCCAGCAGTTAAAAAAAACTTCTGTTTGCCAAAGCACGGAGCATATCCCAGCTGGTAAGATGTGTTAGAGTGACCATACAGATTTCTCACGTGCTTGATGAAAGACAGACTTGGTGGTATTTGTACCTTATTCACTGATTAGAAGCAAGGAGCCAGCCAGAGCCACATCTTTCAACAGCTACAGAAGATTAAAAGTAGTATTTTAAATGCGAGGATACAGCACCAGTTGAAAAAGTTTCCAGTCTTGCTAATTTTATCCTTTGGATTGCATAAAAGTAGTAAAAATAAGAAAAAAAACCCTCCTTCCTATCTTAGCCTCCTTTCTAGACTTCTCTTATTAGTCCTTCCTTCCACCTCCTTTCCCATTTTATTGGGAATCATCTATAAAGCATCTAGAAGCTGTTGAAAAGAAAAAACCTGAAGCTGCATGAACAAACCAGCAGCTGCCCAGTGAAGCTGCATGGAGTCTGTACACAAAACTTCAATTACTAGCTCTGCTGAGTTCAAAGGAATAATTTCTGGGAATAAATGTTCTGGTGTTCAAGCATGGACATAACCTGATCTATATGGAACAGTGGAAAGGGTTTTTCTTCTCCTCTCTCTTGTCCTTTTTGGTAAAATCTCTTTGAATATTTACGTGCTACCAGATTCTTTCCCTACTTCTCACCCAATCCTACTCACTTTAAACCTCCATTATCCTGTTAATCAGCTTTATAACATCTTACCACTTGTACTATAATGACAGAAAATACTGAGAAATCAACATTTCAGGAGGATGAGCAGTGTAAATCATACAATTCCAATGAAATTCATAGCTTGAAGTGTTCCACTGTTATAATTCATGTTGTTCTAAAGGAGGGATTTCACAACACATCTCCACTCCTCCTCCTTCCAAGGCAGCCTTTAAATTCAGGCACAGCCCACAGTTCAAGTTTGCTTTGCTCAGAAAGCTCTGAATGCTCCCTGTAGCACAGCAGGAGGCTGCTTTAAGGCAATTGAGATTGGTGGGTGGATAGAGAAGGCATGAGACCACAATTACACCCCATTCCAGTGATATGTCTGGAGCTGCACTGACTCCAGACAAAGAAGCTCAAGTGTATGGGAGCTGATATCTCTTCAAGACAGACCTAAAAATACCTGTCGGGGCTGCAGATTTGAAGCAATTACCAGGAGCAATTCAGAGTTTTCCTGCTGGGAGCTGCAGAATTATTTACAGCAGGCTGTGTGGGGTATCTGGTTGTGAGAGAAGTGATGCACAAATGCGTCTGAAGTGCACTGGAGGGAATCCATCAGCACCAAGACAAGATCAGAAAGTCTGGAATAGGATTTAGAAGTGGACAGGATCTGACCCACTCAGGATACCCAACATGTAAACTCAAAGTAGCTAAACTCTGCCATTTCCATGAAACTAGGAAAAGTTCCTTAAATTCACATACCGGCCTCCTGAGAAGAGAAAAAAACATAGTCATGTCCTAGTCACCATGAAAGGAATTTGCTTTTATGCCCTGGGAGTTATTCTAACTCTTCTGAAACTAAGCATCACTAAGATTAGCTCAACAAATCAAGACAAACAGCAAGTTTCTTAGATGCACGCCACTCATTTCTGATTTTGGCTAAAGCACTAGGTACAAGATTAAGCTGGTATATAAAACAACTGAGTCAAAACAATCTAAACAACTACTGAGTGCCTGAAACTGCTTCCTACTCCCATTTTTTTTTCTAGTGGAAATGTCAAACTCAAGATCTTGGAAAAAATATGAGAGAAAGATTTCTTGAGATACCATCTTTGGCTAAGCACAAATTAAGGACTCAGTCATTTCCCTGAATTGAGAGAGACACCAGTTTCTACCAGGAAAAGGAGTAAACCAGTGTTTGCTGATCCACCAGGTCATAAGACTGAGGGCTCAGTCCTGGAAACGGAAACAAAATCCCATTTGACTTCCCCATATTTATTTTTTCATCAAAATATGGAACATGTTAAACCCCACAAAGACCATCTCAGAGCATATGATATTATTATGTAAGCATGATAGGCACACTGGAACATATGGACATGAGTTTATCAGCTTACTCCTGAAAGGCATAAGTGAAATATTGATTTGAGCACTATTTGAGCTACCCTGATGTTTAGAAATAATTCTGTGTGATTCCTAAATAACAACAAAAAATCTTTTCCATTTTCTGTTTGTGTTGATGCTCAATATAGACTTAACTATTCAACAAAATGTATCCATGTCTCCCAGATCTTACCTTTATTTTCTGAAGGGTGTCTGACTTTTCTATGAGCTACCTTAGAATAAAACTGTGCAGTAACTCAGAGATTAATACACACAGTGAGATGTATTTCACACTAATGCCTGTCTCCCAACTCATTTCTACACCAACCAAATGTCTCTGGAGGCCAATAAGATAATCCCCGAGCCGAGTGCTCATGTGAACACAACTTGATTTTGCAGTTATTTCATTTGAAGTTACTTCTGGCAAATCCTCACACCAATCCTCCTCTCTTCCAGCATTACTAGCACCTGCTGAGCCAGAGCACCCATCAGGTTTCAAATCCTGAGCTGCTCAATAAGCTTCACAACCTTCCCGTGCGGAGGAAGTACCAATTTATTATCTCCCTCTGAAGAGGAAGGAAATGTTTACACCCTGGAAAAGCTGGATGCAATACTTTTCTTTGAAGTCTGCAGCACAGACCTGTGACTTAGGTATTTGTGGTTTGAAAAATTTGTAACTTAAGTATTTTTACCATCTGTTTATTTACACTGGAAGCTTTTCAGGACTCGTTAGGAGCACATCACTCATCGTATGCTCTCATTTGCTCTGAAAATTAGGTGCTTTTTATTTATTTATAAAAGCTTTATTGCTGAGCTGCTTCCACTGTTTCCTCCTAATTTGTACATTGTCCTAATCTCTACATGAAGAATTTTAAGTTTAAAATGTTTCATTTTTTATTCAGTGATCTGGAACATACAAATACTGCATCCATTGAAGCAAATGAGGAAGATTTTAATTTCAGTCACAGAATTTCACTTGGAAGTATTTTAAGCAATAATGTTCTCACAACTTGGTTGAACAACTACTATGAAGATTTCTGTAAACACATTTGCCTATCCTCATACTCTCCAATTTTACTTTTCAGAAGAAATATCACAGCTTTTGTGTTAGCTGAATTATGGAGATTATGAAATTATGGAATAACTGGTTAAATTGAAATAAGCATTTTTTTATTAACCTCAGTGAAGGCAGGATTTCTTGATAGCAAGAAAAAAACTGCTGAAAGCTTATAACCCTCCAGATTCTGATCCTAATTATGGGAATGCAGTGACTCTGCTGAAGTCAGGTTTCTACAGTGAAATTTCCACCGGCCCCTAAAGACAAGAATAGTAGAAACTTAACTCTGCAAATCCTTTTATCAGCAGCAAGAAAAACATTAAGAAATACTCAGAATTAAGACAGATACAGACACCAGAAAAATACAAGTACAGATGTTGATGTCAGCTTTGACAGCTACACTGCTGACTGGCATATGCATGTTGACAGCTGAAGATGAAGGGCTAAAGTAGGAGGAGAAAAATATTCCAATTCAATTTAATTGATGCAAATGACTGAGACATAAGTAAACTATAACACGAGCTATGAAACAGGAACACCAGATGCATGCTAATTTAAGTACTTTGTGAATTTTTATATTAAATATATACCAGTAAGTGATCAAAGTCATCCTCTCTAACCATAGGTATATTTTTTAAATCATTCAAAGGAAAAATATTGCATTTGCCACGATGAAAGTGAAAGAACTAAGTTCATACACTGAAACAGTTAATGACATACTGGATCATTTCAGTAAATGCTGATAGCCCACAAACTCTGGAGCCTAGAAATTAGCTGGGAAATACACTCTAGCATTGCTGTTTTGCTATACTTCAGGGATCAACATACATTTCCTAGATTCATCCCTCTGCTAACCATTATCCCTTGTTCATAAAATATTCCCAATTCAACATTTTACGAACAGAAATGTAAAAGATAGATTTCTGTTTCTCATGAACATTAGTTTCTCTTAATTTGATTTGCCCTGTGCTTCTTGATGCACCCTTCTGGCTAAGGAAAGTGCTTGGAGGTCTTGCAGAACTTTGGCAAAAATATCAAAGTTTCTGGAAGGTTTTTCTGAAATGACTGCCAAACTTGTTCAGCACTTACCATATTTGTGACTATAAGTGAGTATATAATTTCATAATAGATCTACATTGAAGCCTATTCATAAATAATAGAGATTATCAAAGTAAATAAAGGTCAAGCTTTCCAAAACATTTGTTCTATTCCACCTTCAAATCAACCTATAATTTCAAATAAATTTTGAATTCTTTTAGCTGCAGATGTCCTGCTTAACATTTAAAAAAAGAAAAAAAAAAAGAAAAAGAAATCTGGAAAAGAAGTTAAGGATTTGTGTAATATTTTTTTACTCTTAAAAAAAGTTTCTTTTCCAACAAACTGAACAAAAAGAAGCCAAAATAAAAATTTCTGTTTGGTAAAAAATTAAATGTC